TACAGTATATTGTAGTGCCGAGAGAAGGGAGACGGAGGCGGTGCATCGAAGGTGCAAATCTCTCTTTATTGGGGAGCAGAAATCGACGTGCTGTCGGGTTGCAGGAAAGAGGAGAAGAGAAAGTGAAAGGGACACACACACTGTAGGTACCCCGGAGGTACCGTCAACATATATGTCCGGGCGGAAACAATACCCCCAACCCGTAGTTCCATGCGTGAATTATGTACCCTAGTTAAATAGTGGTCACCACACAAGCCCCCCCAGAATTCAACCATGGACACAATCCTCGCGTCCGGGAGGAAGCACCACAGGGGCCGAGGAGGGCGGGCCATGGAACGGGCCGTCGACAGGGGGCCGCAGGAGAGGGTAGGGGCCCCAACGAAGGCGAGGGCATTCCCACCGGAGGGCGGGTGGCGGGCCGGAACGGGCCGACGTCAGGGGGCCGCAGAAAGCAGGGTCGCTGTGTCGAGACGTGGGGACGAGCGCGAAAAACCCGGAGGTCCCCATCAGGGAGGAGCGCTGCCCAGCCGCAGGCGAAGGCACAGCGGCGGCGGGCACGAAGTCCTCAGGAGGAAGGAGCCGTGGACAGGGGAGAGGCCAGACGGGGCGCCGTCGAGGCGAACCGTGAGCCGCGGTTAGAGGTGAGGCCAGGCAGGGTCCCGAAGCGCGCCACCCACGGGCCGATGAAGGCATGGGCGACGTCCGGAACCGCCGAGGCGAGGGAAGAGGCGAGACGGGGTCCAGAAGCGCGCCACTGTGTGACGACCGAAACCGCCGTCGAGGTGGTGATAAAGCGAGAGGGTCCACACGAGGCCAAACCTCCTCTCAAGCACCAGAAAAAGCTCAAAAATGGTCGTCCCGTCCACGAACAAAAACAGGTGGGCGAAATAGCGAGAGGATCCACGCGAGGCCGACCAGACTTGATCGAACCTCCTCTCCGGCACCACAAAAAACCAAAAATAAAAATAAAAAACAGTCGGATGTCAGCCGCTAGCTGCTGTGGCTAGCCGTTGTTAGCTGTTGCCAGCTGCTAGCCGTCAGCAGTCGTGGCTAGCTGATCTCGGCGGCCGTTAGTCGCTGGCCGGACATGCAGCCGCATGTCCCGAACCAACCCGGCACGGTCGCGTACCGGCCCCATGGAAGGCTTGCCGTCCCCCAGAGCCGAAAAGCCGTGGAAATGGCGAGCGTCGTCCGCGTCCATTCCGTGGGGCGCACCGAGCCACAGTCCGAGCGCACGTGGCAGTTACGGAGGTCTCCAAAAATCCCCGGCATTTCGAGAAAAAACAAGAGTTTTTTTGCCGTGTTCGGTTCAGTCTCGGAACCTTCGCGAGACTTATGTCAGGGTCACCAATGTAGTGCCGAGAGAAGGGAGACGGAGGCGGTGCATCGAAGGTGCAAATCTCTCTTTATTGGGGAGCAGAAATCGACGTGCTGTCGGGTTGCAGGAAAGAGGAGAAGAGAAAGTGAAAGGGACACACACACTGTGGGTGTTTCTCAATCGCGAGTAAAGCTGCTTCAGAGCCACTATTTCAAGCATACTACGTCATCGAGTGCCGCCGAAGTACTGTTCCAATCTCCAGTATACTTGGAAATCTACCGAGCCCGGCGTACTCCGTTTGGAGAAATATCAAGTGTGCACATGAGTAGACTTCGCGGTCTTAAAATCCCCACAATGCTTTGCGCACGGACCAATTTCCCCAAATCTGTGGCGGAAGATGTAAGGCGGGGCCTCTCATATGACGCACACCTGCACACTTGCTAGCGTGTTCCTCTCTTTGTTTTCCGAATGTCAGGAAGTATTCTTGACTCGCTTCTGAAGCAAGATGCTCGGCAGACATGTGCTACCAAGCAAGCATACTCGCGATTGAGAAACACCCTGTAGGTACCCCGGAGGTACCGTCAACATATATGTCCGGGCGGAAACAATACCCCCAACCCGTAGTTCCATGCGTGAATTATGTACCCTAGTTAAATAGTGGTCACCACAATATGGTACTTTATTAGTTTAGTCTATATTTGCGAAGAAATTAGTAAAGCTAAATAAATGTAGTCAAAAAAGCACATTTGTCTATAACTGTTGACTCTAGTCACATGATCTTTTGATGAAATATCAGCCTAAATATTACACAAGTTTCTATGTGTTTTCTCAAAAAGATCATCAAGGAAGCATCCTCAACTACAAAACTAGTGCTTATAATTTGCTAATAATAGGCTAACCAATCAGAGCAGACTGGGCTCTGGTTTCCGACAGAGGGAGTAGATAGCTATATTAAGTATAGACATAGAAAAACAGGTCAGAGTTGAGTTTAAAGCATGAACAATCAATTAAAAGAAGATAGGAAACAAGGCTTTTGATCAATGGCCTCAGTGTCCATGTTTAAGGCCTTTTGCAGATTATTCATGTATAAGGTGCACTCTAACTGAATTCAATATTTGCCATACAGTAAGCCAGCTTTAAAACTTTTCTAAACTTCACTGCTTCTGTAGTTTCTCCTCTGTTGGCAGGGAATGTCAAAAACAGACTTGTAAAAATGGGCCTGACGTCTCCTGATTTACCGTGTCTGTGTGCAGTTTGTTAAATGGGAACCCTTTCTAAAGTCATCGCAAATTCCTTTCTTCCTCATCTCCCCGGAGAGCTCCGAGTGGGATGCAGCGAATAATAAAAGCAGTTGGATTGCTTGTAAGTGTCAGCCTTTTGTGAGCCCGAAGGATTTTTAATGAGGTTTTGTGATTGGGAGCTGAAGCCTCACTGCAGTCATCTCTTTACTCCCCCATCTATCTATAAAGCAGCTTCTTCTCCACAGGCAGAGACTATATTTCACTCGGCTTATAATAAAAGAGGGGCAGGTGAACACAAAGGCTGCATGGAGTTATATCCTATAGCCAGTTACTGTACACACACATCAGGCCTCAAACTCAAATGTTCCCAAGAGGCAGTGTCTGAACATTTGATCAATTCACTACACTTTGAACCAGAGAAAATGCTTTGCAGCTGATTGGAAAAAACATGTTTCCCACCGTCCAGGGAACATACCTCATTATTCTCCATGTGTCATATCTAATGTTCTTAAACAACGTGAAGAATTATTTGGCAGAGGCACATCATCCAGCAGCCATCTTAGCCGGACCCCTTTCTTAAAGGTCCCATGTCATGGCCATTTCTACTGATCATAATTCCATTGTTGAGGTCTATGGTCACGTCACTGTACCCAGGAAGAAAAAGAGAAATCTCCAACGAGGCGTTCTGGGCAGCATAGACAGGTCTTTTCTGTGTTAGAGTTTTACTCGCTACAGGGTGTACTTTGAGGGTTTGTGACTCTGCAGACCGTTTACATGCAGAAAAACCTTCATAACACACAAGGGGACGGGTAATAACCGGAAAAGCATGACATGGGACCTTTAAGATTATTGGGTACAGCTTACCCTGATCAGATTTGACTTGAAATCAAAAACATCCCGCAGGCGTCCACCATGATGTGATTGAGTTTGACAAGACGTTGGGTTGCTACAGTTGCATAAAACCCCTAAAACCGGCAACATTTGATTTGCTTTGGATACATTTACTGTTCTTGTAAATTCAGTTTATGAAATCTTGCCATCATACAAACTTAAAAAGCTAACTCAAGGTCCAAGTTTCACTTTTTTGCAAGAGCCTAAAACAACAACTGGAGCTTTAATGTTCAAATAGAAATGCATTATGTTTGAATCTTTCTGAATCTCATGGTCTTCATTACTACAGATAGTTTCATGCCAAGCTCCAGAGGAAAAATAAATATTATTAATATTTTCTTTTCACAAGAAATACTTTGACGCTCACATATAGCATAGCATAGCATAGCATAGCATAGCATAGCATAGCATAGCATAGCATAGCATACATGCCTGTATGTGTAATTGTTATGGTTCCACCAACAACTTGTGGCCAACAAATGGCAGCAAGCTGGTGAAGACCACAAGCATTAAAGTTCGTTCTTTACCTTGGAAATAGAAATCTCAAGGTCCAATTACTAGATTTTCTTCCAACAGGGCTTTATATGAAAACTGAGAAAAAGCCGTCTGCCGATGAAGCCCATGAAATGATATTGATAGCTCCAAAAAACAATACTTGTATATTTTACATTTATATTTCTGTGTTAAATGTAATACATGGCAAATAAGCAGCCACTACCCAATGATGAAAACCATGATTTATGCTTAAGTAGATCTTTAGTTGTTAGTTTTGATTTCAGTGTCCAGTGATATCCTTCATTGTGTTTACAAGATGTTCACACTGTTACATATTTTATTGATTAGAGTCATTAATATTTCATTAGTATCGCCTGGTGGCTTCATCTGAAAAGTAATATATAAGGTGCAGGTTCTTTAATAATACATCTTAAAGGGGACCTATCATGCAAAATGCACTTTTGTACGTCTTTTACACATGAATATGTGTCCCCGGTGTTCCAGGGAACTCACCAAGTGTCAGAAAACACAACCCTCTCTATTTTCCTCCATACCCAAATCTCTAAAAAAGGGGCTGCAACGGATCTGATAAAAACTGATCCAGATTTGAACAGTGGCGCTACGGCTATTGGGCCAACTCCACCAATCAGGAGGAGACAGCCACGGCCATTGCCGTTCGAAAGCGCTGGAGACGCTGTAGTACATATGCCAGGCCTGTAGGTGGTGCTGTTCTCACAGAATCAGCCCTTGCAAAAACAGAGCTAAACATTTTCAAATTGAGCAAAATGAGGCATGGCTAAAATGCATGATCTGTTTGGTATTTTGAAAAAAAAAAAGTATAAATATGCCTTATATAGGTATGGTCCTACACTATATTATTCAAATATAGCATGATAGGTCCACTTTAAATCACGAAAGGCCAAAGGACCTTGACCTTTCCTGACATCCCGCTGAGTAAACCATAAATAATCCCTTCCTCTGAAATATTCTTCTCTTGCTAAATTCTCTTTTACTGTAAATAATCTGTTCTGTCAGAGATATTGAAGACACAGTCACATGGTTAAGAAGTCTTTACTTTGTGGAGAGCTCCACACACACACACACACACACAGACACACAGACAGACACATCAACATTAACATGGTTTAAAAGCAGATTTACTGTCACACCAGCAGGAAGACACATCAACAACACTACAGGCAGAAAATGAAAAACACAGAACATCTCATAAGGTGCTTCATAATATGCGACAGGAATGTTATGAAAAACGTCTACATAATCCTGCGGAGACACCAATACTGCATCTACATATATATATATATATTCATACCATTATATAAAACAAATCTACACAAAAATAGAGCAAATATTTACAGAACACAGACTTATTTACAACATCCAAAACGTAAAGATGAAGAGCAATATATATATATAATGTAAATATATATATTTATGAGAATATTAATGTACACAAAGTCTGTTAAGTGGTTGAAAGTCACAAGTTGGCCAGTTGCATCAGCTGTTCTTTGAACTTCTGCGCGTCATGCGACAGGTCGGTGACTCGGTCCACCATCTCCTGGATGGCGGCCGTGTTGGGGTAGTTCAGAGCGGCCGTTTTGGTCGCCGACACCACCGTCTTTAGCAAGTCGCACAGCACGTTACTGGAGTTCATCACCCTGTTGGCCACCTCGGGCGCCGACGCCTGCCTGGACAGGGTGTCTCCGATGAAGACGAGTTTGTGCGCGCTGAGGATGACGAACTTGCTGTGCGCCACGAAGATGCGGGGAGGCTGACCGGCGCTCACGCAGCCGAAGAAGGCGTCCACGGCGCTGAGCAGCGGCACGAAGTGCTGCTCGCACTGCTCCGAGTAGAAGGCCAGCAGCTGGCGGTCCCGAACGCACACGTGGGGGGAGGGGGGGGAGGGAGGAGGAAGAAGAGTCCGGGGGGGAGGCCGAGGTCATGTCCGAGTGTGAGATCCACTGCGTGACGTCGTTCTCCACGGGTCTGCTCACATCCTGCTCCAGCTTCTTGAACTGATTGATCTGTGAAGGACACAGGATCCAGATTATTGTCTGAGATTGTGAACATGTACAGAGGAGGAAGTACTCAGATCGTTTACTGATGCAAAGGAGCTACGATGAAAATTCTTCAACTTTACTTAAAATTTCCTTTTTCTTTTAATGTCATGTTATTGTTTTTATTATGTGTTGTTCTGTTGGTTTGCCATCTCTATTGAATTCATATTTTCTATCATATTTCTCTTAAGGATTGTGAATTTTAATATTCTTTAGGTGGATGCTAACGCTCTTCCTGCATTATATATGATCCTTTATGTATTTCGTGTGCAAAAGAATAAAAAAAAACAAAAATCCACAATGATCCATTTTACATTCTGTTTTTGTACATTTAGTAACATTAAAAGTACCTTGCCTCCAAAAAGTGGAGTAGAAGTATAAATTGATATATATATTTAAAGTCCATGTAAACCGGCATATTTCACAGAAAGTCCTATGAGGCCATGCTCTGCAGAAATGCATCTAAGATTAAAACTCTACCCCTCGCTATTGGACAGACAAACATAGAAACTCGCTTCTAGTTATTATTTGATTAATTATAATTTTCAAGCAAAGATGCCACATTTTTTCTGGCTAACGACGATTTGATACACATTTCTTTTGTTGTAATCCTTGGTGAAATAAAACAAGCAATTGAAAGACACCACTTTAGTCACTGTGAGGTTGTGATGTCTTTTAAAAACACTTTTTGTATGTTTAAAATGAGCACTTAACAGAGAAATTGCATATTATTTATAATACAAATAACCTTTAGTTGCAACGGTCAATTACAATGATTTGAAGTATTTGAAATGAAGTAAATATTACAGCAATCCAAGTGTGTTTAGTTATTTTTCTCTGTGTAAAGCCATATGGCTGCAGATGCTGAAAGGTCAACAGCTGTGTGTATCTGCTGGTATGAATATATAAATATGCACAGCTGATCAGCCACAATCCGGTGCACAAAGGTCTTGTGAAGAGGAGAAAGAGCCTCACCTGCTCCTGGCCCAGCTGGACCTGACTCTGTTTGATGATGTTTTCTTTGTCCAACAGCTCCTTCTGCTGACGTTCAAAGTCTTCTTTGCCCTGTGGAGGAAGAGGAGCAGATGATGAGAGGCATTCAAAGGTACTCACACAGCCTGGCTTTAACTTCCTACATGAGGTCAATGGAATCGATGCTTTTACAGGAATGAAACTACTCTTCAAAAGACATGGATGGATTACAAATGATCTTTAACTTGGTGGCTATTTGAGGTGTAAATATACTCATGACTATCACAGAAACAGACGATAAATTAAAACCACTTTGTACAGTTTTGAAACATTTCTGACTTTTGGTGACCTCTAGTCACAATAACCCTAAATGGACCAGAACCTAAGGCTGTTAAAATGAATGGTCTAAACGCAACACTTGGACTTAAGTGGCTAGACTGGTTCTTGAAGATTTACCTGGAGATGTACATAGTCGTAGTCCTCCATCCAGCTTTTGACACACTTCTCGCTGATGTTCATGTTGTCTTTGTCTTGGCTGGAGGGCACGGGGAAGGGCTTGGTGGGTCCTCCGTAGTTGTCGTTATCGGAGGAGGGGGAGGTGAGCGGGTGGATCATGTTCTCGTCAGGCGAGCTCCCGATGGAGAGGGACCCGTCCATGTGCGTCCTCCTGAACAGCAGCTCAGCACTGCTGCCTATCGTGGAGGCCAGCTGCTTGGCGTCGTCGGGCACCGTCCTGGAGACCATGACGAAGCGATCCAGGTCGTCGCTCTTGTTGTGGTGCTTTGCTGAGGCCGCCAGGGCGTTCAGGGCCCAGCTGCAGTTCTCCAGGACCTGGTAGATCTGCAGGAGGATCTGCTGCGAGTCCTCCAGGCGTCCCAGCTGCCGCCTCAGCTTACAGTGCAGGCTGGAGTCCGACAGGGCCGTGGCGTTGGCCGCAGCGCCTCTGCCGAAGACCACAAAGTCCCCCAGGGCCGCCCGGACCCTGTCCAGCACGGTGCGGACGTCGTTGGCGTGGCGCTCCATGAAGGGAAAAGTCCTCCAGTGAGGGGAGGCTGACATTGAATGCAGCGCCCCGACGGAGGCCTCCACGCCCTGCTGCAGGCGGCACAACCTCTGCACCGCCGTGTCCACGTCCAGCGCCAGGCGGCCCTCGGAGTGGGAGCCGGCCGAGGACGAGGACGTGGACATGCTGCTGCGCGTGCTGCCGGTGCTGGAGAAGGACAGGCGGTTCACCCCGTCCGTCACGTCCCCCACCGCCCGAGCGTCCTGAGCGGGGATGTCGTAGATCCCTTTGCTGTCGTTGGGCGAGGTTCTGTGCTGGGGGGGCGGCATGCCCCGGGGGATGTCGTATATGTCCCTGTGAGACCCCGCCCCCGTGTGAAGGGCGGGCGGAGGCACGTCGTAAATGCCCTCGTTGCCGTTGGTACTCGGGTGTTGGTGATGGGCAGGAGGCTCCACCGTGGGGGGGAAATCGTAATGTGACTGGGGGCTCTGTGATGGCTTGGTGAGGGCAGGTGGGGGTACGTCGTAGATGCCTTCCTGTTTCTGTTTGAGAGGCTGCGGGAAGTCGTAGTTTCCCTCCTCGACAGCGGGGTTAGTCCTGCAGGGAGGCACCGAGTACACCTGAGGGCGAGGAGGGTCATTAGTGCAAATTCACAAGCAGGTAGCACATCGCTGTGTTTATGACACAGACATTTTATTTGACAAACATTTGTATTTCATTAACATTGTTTTTTTGTCTTTACGTTCTTCATCTGCAGTCCTTTTTAATTGTAGAAAGCCAGTTAAACGCCCACACAAAATGTTAGATTTTCCAGGAGAGGTCTCGCTTGGGAAATCAGGTTTCTCTTCTCCCTTACCATCATCAGGAAAACCAGTTCACATGACATTTAAGAAATCAGCTCACTGAAAGAAGTGGACCATAAACTAAACGGCACTAAATGTCAGTGGGTTTTCCTCGGATAGAGTTTGCACTGCAGTTAGAGGTTGAGGGAATGAAATACCTCCTGGCTCTCTGTAGATGCAGTGTTTGAAACCTCAACTCTTCTGCCTGTAATCCTTCATCTGATGCTGAGTACAACAAGCCTTTAAGCAGTAGAGGAACATTACTAAGGACCCTTACTCAAGTATTGTACTAAAGTACATTTTCAGGTTCTTGAGTTTTCCATTTTCCAACTCAGATAGTTAATCTGATTCTGATTCTGATACTACATTTCATATGGAAATATTGTATATTGTTCATGAATATTTTTAACAGCAGGGTAAGGGTTAGGCTAACCCTTACCCTAACCCTAACCCTAGTATCACTGGTTACTCTTACTTAAGTATTTCTCCAATGTCTGGCTTTAGGCTCCCACTAAGTTGCCCTAGCAGAGTGTATGAGGTATATGGCACAAAGCATGATGGGAGCTCAGTGGGGGTGAATAAAAACAGTGGCCTGTAAGTGATTTCCATCAGCCTCCAAACGCACTATTTACAGCCAGACGAGGCAGCCCAAAACTATAATTAAGAACGATGCAAATAACCGGTCCCGGCATATTTCAGGTTATTGCAAACAAACTGATGGCTGTCCGCCTGCACGCCTCTGGGAGTCTGCTGAAATCTTAGAGGGCCTGGAAAGAGAGGAGTTATGTCCTTGACACATAGCGGCTCGTGGAGCTTTTGGTTAAACTCTCCTGGCAGGCAAAGCTTTCATTAAGTACCGCCGCAAGCATGTCATAAATATGACATTTACGGTTTTTTCCATTTTTTTTTAAATTAAGAGAAATTGTAGGAGCTGTATCAATAAATAACTTAAGCAGCTACCACTTCCTTAATTCAGACTCGAGTCTCTGACTGATCACTGTGGTAATAGAAATGTTGTCTCACCCCTTGTGAAGAGGGAGGGACGTCGTACACGCCCTGTGATCTGGCGTCCATTTGAGACGGAGGAACATCGTACACTCCTTGGTTTCTGGCTCCTGGAAACATCTGACCAGGCGGAATATCATACACCTGAAATATAAAAAGTATTAAGGTTAACATATATAAAACCTCATACAAAGAGACTTAGCACATAGTGAGATAGAGAACATGGATTACGTTTGTAAAGTACTGAACATGGAGTATATTTTTGTTATTACTAAGTGGTATAATAAATATTTTGGGAACGATTTTGATGAAATATCTTACATTTTGCAATCAGCTTTTATATACCTTTTGAATATATTTATCATTACAGTTTTAATTTCTCTTTTCAGTTTTTATTTATACTGTAATTTGATCACAGAGAACAAAGTACATGCATGGATTAAATTAGTGTATAAATTAAAAGGACATAAAGAAACATAAAGAGGGGTACTTCAAGTTTAATATAATGAATATAATAATATCATTTAAGAAGACATTTTTGATGTTTGATTAAGGTGAATTGCAGCCTTTAATTGTTATGAACCTACTCTTGATTTGTGTTTAATAATGCAACATGCTATAAAACAGAAGGAGTCATCAGCTGACGGGGAGATGACAGGACAAAATCTATTACTGTCAGAGATCCTGTGTGAGGAAAGGGGGTCACTGCAGAGAACAGGACATGTGCTCCATCAAATACAGAACAGACTGAACATCAAAGGAGCTGCGTCGCAGTTCAGACCAATCCAAACCACTGCTTAGATTCTTGCTATGGTGACTACTGACCGTTTTGTTTGTTTTAAATGATAGATGTATCATTCTATTTAATGATCATGATGAGGTGACACTCCTTTTTCTATCACCATAACAATGACTGGTTTGATTTAAAAATACAATTTAAAGAGCCATATCAGTGTGGAACTCTATGGAAGCCCTAAAATGTAAAAAGAAATGCATTTAAAAACATAGCACAATGGGTGGCTGTTATATAAATCTGAGGTTTGTACTACAATTTGGAGAAACACTGTTATGATTGATCAAATTAAAAGCAAAACTGATTTTGAACATTTTCTTCATGTGCAGTTTTGCATATTTCATGCAAAATCTTGACTTTAAAAGTTATTCAATTATATGTGATGGTACATTTCAGGTAGAATTACGATACCTTTGTAATCAATCTGAAAGTACACTGGTACTTTTTAATTATAAGTGTCAGTTTTCACAATATGTAGTACTAGTACACTGTACATGAGGGAACACGAGACACCTACCCCCTGGGATCTACTGGGGGGGACATCATAGAGGTCCTGCTGGTTGTGCTGGCCGGGGCTGAAGGTGTAGGACTGGCCCACTCTGGTCGGGGTCACCACCTGTCCATCAGAGAGGGGGGGGGGGAGACAAACGGTCAGAGCTGCTCAACACAAATACTGTGAATCACTAATTACAAATACAGTCCTCCTGCTGTTTCTGGGACCATTTCGTGTCAATTCTATGCTGTATAATTACAAGTAAAGGCAAAAAATGACAATGAAAATGTATTGATTCAACAGCCTTGTATCAAACAATTAAATTCCCAGAATTTATTTTTTTTATCCGAGCCCAAAGTGAAGTCTTTAAAATATCTTGTCTGAAACCGACAGACCTTAGCCAAAAACATTAAATCTACAAAATAGAGCCGAAAGTGTTCCCTGCGAATAAACAACTATAAACTGGTTGGTCATATTTCAGCTAGGTAATAAAATCTGAATCCTGCAGTTCAACTAATAAAACACAAATGTGGTAAAAATTCAGCATAACTCTGAGAAAAACAAATGGAAGGCCTTTATCTGAATAGTTTAATGATTTATGATTCAAATGGTTTATGAGAGCGAGTTTTATCGTAGTCCTGGCTGGATTGTGAGCTTTTAAACTTGGTGAAGTAGTCATAAGGTCACTGGTATTGATTCACAACCCTGGCAGTTTGTGTTTGTGGATTTAACACACCTTTAAAATATTTAACACCGAGGCGCAGACAGGCTACAGAATAATAGTGTGATTACTGCGTGGAAAAAAAACACAGACCAACCATGACATTTTAGCTCCCGTTAACTTGTTTTACCACATTTTCCCTACTCTTTTCCCCTCGGTGCTAATCATTCCCTCCACACCTCCTAATCCCAGAGTTTCCATCCCCCTCCCCCAGCGCCGTCGTCCCCCTAAAAGCAGAGCTCCTTGCTGCGTCAGACACACAGGAATGCTGGGAATGTCCTTCCCTGAGCCCCTTTGCTCCTCATCTGCCCCCCCGCACCACTATCGCCACACTCATTAACGGGGGTTTGAAAATAGGAACCATACGCATGGCTTCCTGGCAGAGGGGATCGTCTCCAGGGAGGTTTTAAAGTTAACTCCCAGAATCCACAGAGTCCCCGAGTAAATATCCTAATATAATCTCTGGTTCTGAGCAGTAGGAGCCAACTGAGAACGGGATTAATGTTTCTGAGGAAGCAGAAGCAGAGGGTTGGGGGATTTGTCAAAGAGAGTTATGAAAAAAGGTAACAGAGGCGGAAAGTGAGAGTAACGGAAAATGAGAGCGCGTCGCCTAGTATGGGAAGGAATGCCATTCATCTGACTAACAGTAGTCCACATGGTTCTCATAAGCACAACCTGAACGAGCCCCGGGTGAATTAACGCGTCCATTGTTGGCATTCCTGTCCCTGTATACATCATCCCGCAGGGCCTGTGGGGTCAGGGCTGAAACGTACACCGTTGGCTTTAAAACCACGTCGTCTGAAATAAACCAGCGGAGGAATAAATAGCCTGCTTTTGGATCTTCTCACGCACTGTTGCTCGCACACTTCAGGCGGTTTGAACTGGGGGGAAAGATACTGTGCAGTGCAGAGATGGAAACCCCGTTGATATCCTGGATCTAACATCTGGCTGTATAGCTCTATGAAAACATGAATTATTGGCGATTAATTCGGAGAACTGCCACCCCTCCCATGACTCTTATTACCGTCAAAAATGTATGCAGTGTAAAGTTAATATGAATGTTTTTGTAAAATGTATATTTATTTTCGTATTATTTACAGCGCTCCTACGCCGTTATGATGAGGGGACAATTAATCAAGTTCCCATATTCTGGGGGCTTTAGGAGTTTGAAACGGGTAGTTATTTACCGGAGCGTGAGCCCTTTTTTTCAAAGCCTATATTTTCTTAATTAAAACAATTTATTTTACAAGGAACGTATGCCGAATTTGCAATTAAGGACCCCTGTTTGTACAGTGTCCAGATGTAAGTACAAATGGCTATAACTGGGTTACTTTGAGACTGAAGAAAATCTTAAAACGTGATTCTTCTCAAGCAAGTTAAGGACCTATGTGAGCTACATACTGATAGACGATAATGGTTTTCTGAGGGAGTGACTGATATTTCTCGGAGAAAGAGTGCAAAAAGTAATGCAAATTATGTTATTCGACCAAATTATAGTCATTTGAATGTAAAGTAGTTGATTTAGTTTCATTTGCAAGCCTTGAGAGCTTTGGTACTGATTGTAAAGCAACATAAACATCTGATTTAATTTTTTTTTTTAAAAAGCCGTTTCCAGCCAATTTGACCAGAGCATGTGAGCCTTTCACTGAGTAACAACAAAGTGCTGCCTGGTAAAAGGTCACTTTAGCCCGGCTGCTGTCCCTGTGGGTTAGGCCTGTGTGCTGATGATAGAGAGAGAGAGGGGGGGGGGGGTGGGTGGCCTCAGCTGTCACATGCAGATGGCAGCGAGGTGTCTGTCAAAGACCTCGGTGACCTTTATCACAGGTACATGTCATTGCTTTGAGCAGCACTCATCCCAACAGTGTCTCCTCTCAGCCGCTGCCATATGCACACCGCTCATTTATTTCCCATCTCCACCCTCTGTTGACCCAGCAGGCTGTTGCTCCGAGGCCGCACGGCGCTGCTATAATTGCCGGTGGGTAAATATTTACCGCGTTCATTGGTGCTTGCTCGGCAGCGGTGGCAGGGCCTTTTACGTGGAGCGATGACATCATGAAGAGCTGCGGCGACTGAGCAAACATTTGTTCCCACTCAGGTGATAGGTTCTTAGCATTCCTTAACGGAGGAGGCCGAGCAAACGGAGGGACTAAAGAGGGATCCAGTTTAAACTAGTGCCCCGAGGAGCCAAATAGATGCCTTGTTAGCGCTCCTACGCCGTTATGATGAGTGACTCATGGCTCTCTCAGCGATATTGTGTTTACTTAGCATCCTGGCTGGCTCAGGTTTTGGCAAGAAGGACTTTTAAGCTTTATTTCAGTCATTTGAGAGGCGTCGTCATTACGTCAACATGACTTTGTTTTGTTTTACACATTCTATGAAATGATGGGCAGTTTATCACAATAAAGATGTTTATTTTAGGCTCATTATGATTAATGGACAAAATAGTTATTTTTTCAGATTATTTTTGGGGAATTCCCTCTTTTTTTGGACAGTTGAAAGTGTAGAAGTGGAGAGAAGATACGTGTATAAATACATGATCTGCTGCTACGTGATAAACGTTTCATCTTGGCTTGGTTTACTATCCTCAAAGTCAAATCTTAACGTGACAAGACAGGATGTTTTCATGCAACATGTACTTGCATGAAACCTGCAGACAAATGAAGTTCTGTTCCAAACCTTAGGCCTTGTTTGCCAAATGTCATATTTGGGACTACTCATTCAGTCACTTTTAAACATCCAGTAGAATCGTATTCTTCTACATTTTATTCTCCGCTCGAGATCCTATTTATATGTGAGAGATTGTTTTCATACTGTTGTCTGTGTGTGAGTTTATTCACTTTGTCTATGGGGCAAGGTTTAACAGGAAATCATCATTTCACACCTTTTCATTGGTTGCATACACACACCACTTCCCCCCCCTGCTCTAAGCCTGGTGACACAAATCAACAACCCTAACGAGACTTTTCTCTAAAGGCTGGCTCATAAAAGAGGGTGACAACAAAGGCATTGCGGTCAAAGTGGCACTTTATTGAATTCCAACCATCCATCTCCTTATTCACGCCTCCTCATCCCCTCTCTTGTACTCTTATCCATCCATCTGGATGTTGACAATGTCGACCTCCAGCCGTTTTTCCACCCTTAGCTCTGTCAGCACCGGTTCACCTTTTAATGAGTGCCACCCAAGGGCACCAATCGAACCATGCTATCACTCATATATTAGCATATATGACTGCAACTCCTAAATGTAGGGTGTGTTTCTGCTCTGAAGTGATCTGCTTGTTTCCGCTCAAAGCACAAAGATGTCTCTCGCAGAGTTGTGGGCCAGAACGGCTCGATAACGTTCCCCTCAGCCACTCTGAGCTGCACCAGCCTATTAAAGTGCCAAACTAATTAATGCAGGCAATTAACTGGTGAATCCTGTGAGGCTTTCAGCCGTCCCCTCCGTAACACGTCCAAGTGGCTAAATCCAAACAGACAGCAGGCTTAATGAGGAGCATTAAAAAGAGAACACACCGATTTTATCGCTAATAAGCATCGTCATTCATCCTCTCTGATCAAAGCGGATTCTTAATCCGGTGGAATGAGTATCTGAAGAGAAGACATGTTAAAAGATGTGTCTGACATTTGGGTTCCTAAGAAAACTGTATCATGAGACAGTTCTTAGAAAAGAAGAGGATAATGTCAAATGAGACCGAACCGAATGAACTTGAAGCAATAAGCTGAGTAGGGAGTGCAACTTAAGACACGCTAGCAGCTCTGTAGGCTTAACATCTGCATGGAAGACGCTTTTGCTAGCATGGAAAAATAATCTTCACCCTGTTCACAGTCTTATTTGAGCAAAGTGGCATGCACATTTTTGCTAAAAAGCACAAAAAACGAAGTAATGCTGAGGCTAGGTTTAGTGGTATAGTAAAGTGTTGGACAAACTGAAAAATGGACCTTATAAAGGCACCAAAGGAAGAGTCATGGGGTGCTCCTATTTACTATGATTTATCGTCGGTAGGTCATGAATGTTGAACCGAAATTCATGGCAATCCATCCAATGGTTGTCAGGATATTCATGTCTGTATTCAAGTCGTGGAGATCTCACCGTGTGGCTAAAATTCCTCTGCTTGTGTTTTTTAAAATTTGAATATTTCCTAATCTCCTTTGTTTAATTTAGGGTGGAACTGATTCCTTTTCAGCTTTTCAACAGTTGGTTGGATAAAAAAAAGGAAGATTAAAGGTGGGTAAGTTTGAGAAACCGGCTCGAGATCGCTAGAATTTGAAAATACACAGCCGGAAAAAATCTGCCACTTCCTTACAGAGCCCCTCCTCCAACACACACGAACGCGCACATGACCAATGAGGGCACGAGATAAGTTTGTGCACAGATGGAAGGCTGACAGGCAGGTAGGCCATCCAGTTATTTTAGCCGGGCCGGCTAAAATGATTGGTCGTGCTTTTTACAGTACTACGGCTTCCACAGATGACATTTTTTTATGGATTTTTTGTCAAAGCACGTAAGATATTCATTGCTATCGGGATGTTAAGAGCATTCCATGGAATATAACAAAAAGTGTATCTCGAGCCGGTTTCTCAAACTTACCTACCCTACCTTTAACTAAAACTTCAGCTTTGGTAGTTTGCATCTTTACTAGGTTTGCAACAATGAGTTGTCTTGTGGTTTAGTTGACCGACTGGAATAAAATCGACAACCTTCTTAAGTTTTTCAAGCACAAAATTGAAAAGTATTCTTATTTCAGCCCATTCAAAGACTCTCAAAGCCTCCTGCTTGATATCATATTCAACATCTTCGGGTTTTGCACTGACAAAAAATAAAGTTTGACCAAAGCTCCTACTTCTGCTATCACATCTGCTGCTTTAAAACTTTCAAGGAGAGAAAGTCCTTTTTTAGTATGCACACACAGAAGAGCACATTACTTTTGGTACAACTGATTTATGACCTTGCTCCCTCCGATCAAACCTCATGGGCCAGCGATTCATCACATATGCGACAATGGCGAACAGACGGGCGTCTGAAGGAGCTTGGCCCACTGCAGGAAGAAATAACTCACTTATCTGGAGCTGAGATTGTCCTGCGCATGATTAGGCAGAGTAAATACGTCCCAGGCAAACAAACAAGCCATTCATTGTATATAACCTGGTTACTTCCAAAGGGGGACTTTTACCAAGGTAGATGGCACGCCCTTACAGTCCATAAACAGCCATTGGAGCACTTCCTTGAGTTGTGTGGGAGTTTATGAATCCTATTGTTGCACCTCTACCTCTTTATGGCACCAATGAGCTGATTGGATCTATGGGTATGACACAGTGAATGGAGGAAATGCCCTTACAAGGAACAGACCTCATGAAGTCAGGAAGTGAGGAATGAAAAGGCCGTCTGGTGGGAGCAGATAAGGAACTAGGCGGAGATCTTTGAACTCTGAACCCAACCCATCTTTGAACACAGTGACCTCAGCGCCTGAGTCAGAGGAAACTGGGGAGAAACTGACGGCGTGAAACAGACACACCTTTCAGAGCCCAAGAAAAGATCAGGAGCAGCACATTGAGATGAAAAACGGGCCTCTGAGAGCAGGATGATAAAAGACGGTACAAGGCTTCTCCATGTGAGGAGGCTCTTTGTGTGGCCGAGAGCTCGAGGCACACGGTCCCAGCTCTGAAGCCGTGAGAGGGGGGGGGGGGGGTAAGGAGGGTCAACCAAGGACAAGGCTACAGCATCAAACGGATACAGAAGAAGAGGAAGAGAGCGCCAAAACCTCAGTGTGCCTTTTATATACCAGAGAACCGAACCACATGAAGGGAAAACAGACATTCGCCAATCTGGATTTGCACTGCTGGGTTGGCATGCAAATCAGAGAGGAGCCCATGCATGCACTCTACACACACATGGCGAAGGACATGAAGGAGCCGCGCTCTGCTGGAGGCCTTACAGTAACATGATAGGGGATTATCCAGTGTAGGGTCCTGGTATTAGTCTCCATAATCATTTGGGAAGGAAGTGAGTGTCACTTGAAGACAAGAAAAAGTCTGTTTTCCCTTCAGCTCCATTGCCTCTTAGCACATTGACTATGCATGAGACAACGCTCCGCTGCCTGTCATCAATACCGCTGCAGCAGTACACCAAACTGATTTGGTGTTTGGATTTCACGTAGACAAAAATGATCTCAACAAATACTATGAGACTTGTAAAGTTTCAAATTGGAAAGAGCCTCTTTAAAGTCTCTTAGATAATTCTAATGTTTTTTTATATTGTGACCATTTCACAGTTTGGTGAACTTAATAGCTCAAAATGACTAGCAGTTGCAATAAAGAATAAGATACAATGAATAGCAAGAGTCATTAAAAAACGAAACCTCTTTGTTAACTTTACCAACATTTAATAGCACAACTTTTCTCCAACATACCATGCTTTATGTCCCAGATGTTTTCAACAATCATTAGGACTTCAAAGGGTTACATTTGTTCCCGAAAAACGAGATTTTGTTTTAATGAACTTTAATTAAAAGGGGGTTGAGGTTGACTTGACTTGCAAAAGGCTGAAACAAATCAAATTGGTAATTTTCTGATTAAGACTTGTTGAGTTCAAACGTGTTGGTTTCCATTTATCCAATTAAATCATTTTAAACTTAAATGAAACTGCTTCCAATGCTTTTCTGCCGTGGACCATAGACTAGATGAACCATCATAGTTCTTTTCTTTTTTGCCATTATCTTTTGAAAAATGAAGACTTGATTACACATTAATGAGTTTAGAGATGAAATATTATAATTCAAAAGAAATTATATATATTTTGGTTGATATATATTTAATATCAACCAACTAGTATTGAAGCTTAAACTGGTCATATCAAAATAAATATTGTGGATGATAATGGCTATTATCCGCTCCTTATGTTTTTATATGCATCTTTGACTTTTTACCCAGGACAATGCCCTGTTCATTTCTTATACTGATGATTCATCCAGTTTAATTTCCATCCAAGCAGCTAAAATGGGACTTTTTGAACTCTGAAAGCCCAAAATAACTCCTTCAACTTCCTCTCTATAAATCTTTCCCTCTAGTTTGGCTTTAACAGGACAACTGTGGCTACAGATACAAATGGTGATTGGGTCAAACGTCAATGGAAAACAACAGAGCCTTGTCTGAACTCCGGCAATGCTCCGAGTAAAAAATCGCTCTCTTCATTAGACAGGAACAACCGCTGGAAATTGAACCATTTTGACAACCACAGATTGGAGGGAAAGTGAAACGTCCAAGAGTTAATTTGATCTCTCCAATAAAATGATTACAGCACAATACGCACTCTCATTAGAAGCACATTTCATTTTCCATCTTATCACCAAAGCCTTTTTTAATACCGTTCATCACGTAAGCCTTGAGGCCTGTTTGTGTTAGTGTTGGTTGGCAGTTTGCAGGTTGATTGACAGGTCTCTCCTCTCAGAATGACTTTATCACACAGTCAATCACACAAAGTCCTCGAAGCCTTGGGCGCCTGCTGCCTATTTACCTTCTGAAAATGCACACCTTAGCTCATTTCTATGATGGCTGGAGCTGATTTGTAAAACAAAAATCACCCTAGGGATTTCAAAAGCTCATCCAGCATATAATTAATATCCGTCTCCTGAAGGGATGATCTGGTCTGAGGTGCTAAAACTAGTTAAGCGGTTGAATAAACAGGAAGGTTTTTCCCTCCTGTTGAAGCACACACCTGGATAATCACCATTTTTAATGGAGAATCACTGGGCTCGCTTGTGTTCATCTGGAGCCATTTCTGTAATACTGAGACCAAGTTAAATGTTGAAAAAAACGACTGGATAAGCAAAATGGCTCGGTAATAAGGAATAAAGCAATACAGCTTTATTTATGTATTCCTTACATCACCTTTACCAACGTTATTCAATCTGGTTCTGTGTGCAATAATAACCTGATATGTTTTCCAGGACAGCTTGAGATATAAGCTTTAAATAATATACTAAACGGCCAGTAAAACAACAAATATGCACAATGGACACACTGCTTTTTGTGTACATATATCTAAACTGTGAGAGGACCATGCCAGGTGTAATGGGTTTGCCAGCCGCCCGCTTACAGCATTTAAATGCAGCTGGGCTCCACCGAAATCCAAAAAACAGCTCTGTTCTGTTTGCTTTTCCACGAGTTATTCCCATATTCACTGCCCTTCTGTGGCTTAGACTGGCTCGGCTACACACAGTGTGCCAATATACATATAAAGCCAAATGGGAGCTCTGCACAAAAACACTACCCTGCTCTGTGGTGAGCACCAGGCCCGGCACACCCTGTGCACATTTTCACATCACAGACCCACAATCTCTCCGGCCTCTCTGCTCTCTGTGTGTAATCACATTGATGGGAGTCGTGGCAGGCTGGCAGGATAACAGGTCACGGTGCGAATGCCTTCTCCTTTCACATCTAATACCAGTGAAGGCCACGCCCACCAGAGTGGATGTTTTAAATCCGCTCTGATCCTCAAGGACTGTCTCCAGAGATCAGTCTCCCTTTTCTCTAAACCCACTTCATCATTTTCAATTGTTCAATGCTTTCATCCCCCACTATACAGTTGTATCTGAAAAATATAAGATGAGTACATAATTGGCATTGGGTTTCTTAAAATGTGTATTTCACTACTTTGCGACTATGTTAAAACCCAATGAAATATAATCAAATGAATAATGGAAGCCAAATTCCTTTGGACATTTTGGGGCTAAAACATTTGACAATTGACATTTATCGAGAAAAATACCCCAAAAATCTCCATTTCAGATCTAACCCTAACCCAAATGTTGCTTCTTTATTTAAGTGAATATATGAATGTGCTAACACAAGCTATTGGAAGTTATGACAAAGTGTGATGAATTGTTTTTCTACACCACTTTATTGATTTATTAGAGAGCCAGAAGTCCACAGCTTCCAACCAATCACTTCAAGAGGTGGCTTCACTGATGAGTTCCTCCGCTACACTTAAAGGAACTTTAATCAGCTGGTCCATGGTGCATGATTGGATTAAATGATTCATCAAAATTGTAATTGACAGACTCACTGATATTTAAGATGGTCATTAGTTGCAACCCTAGGGAAACGTAATCAACTATCTTCATGTCTTACCTTGCTGGGGGTGTTATCAGCTGCTAGAGTACTCCTGGGTGGGACTTGGTAGATGTCTTGTGCCGGGGGAACTTGGTAGATGCTCTGCTGACTCTGTGGACTCTGGAGGGAGGGGGGCACCTGGTAGATGCCCTGAGCCCCCACTGAGCCAGCCTTCTGCTGATAGGCCGAGCTCTGAGGGGGGGACTGGGCAGCGGCGGCCGGCGACTGGGCCTCGAACATGGGTCCGATCAGCAGCTTCAGGCGGTTGCCAGGGGCGATGCCTTGGCGGCCGTGCAGGGAGCAGAGCCACCAGCCCTCCAGCCCCCCCGTGTTCTGCTCGATGACCGTCAGGATGTCCCCTTTACGGAAGGCCAGTTCCTCGGGGGACTCCGGCATGTTGTCGTACAATGCTTTGGCCATCAGGTTCTGCGGAAATAAGGGCACACGTTGTTCTTTAGACAAAGTTCATGGCTTCTTTTTCCATTCTAATAAACATAAATGCATTTTAGGAAATCAACTCATTAACTTTCTTGCTTAGACTTGGATTAGATCAATTCCATTCTCATTCCTATACTTTAAGTTAGAAGCTTCCGCCTGTAGCAAGTTAGCTTATAGCTTAGCACCAAGAGTTAAAAACAGGGGGAAATAGTTGGCCTGACTCTGGCCATCGCCTCTAGAGCTCAATAAAGAACACGTCTTTTTTGTTTAATTTGTACAGAACAAATGTGTAAAAGCATCAAGTGAGGTTTTGTTGTCTCAAGGTGACTATGCAACTTCAGGAAATGGCTGATCGTGGACAAAGAAAGTTTACAGCTAATTTCTTTATAAGTGATAAACCCACAACTTATAATGTATTTGGATCTGGGTCTATAGAGGTGCCACAAGGCCAATTTTGTTTCTTGTAGACAAGATAGCGTTTGCCCCCATTTTCCAGATTGTATGCTAAACTAAACCAATCATCTACTATCTGTAGTTTTTTAAGCATACAAAAACAAGTTGTTCCAAACCCCACACTTAATGCCAAAGTATTCTTTGAAAACACTGTAGTTTACTTTCTTTCACAATACTTCTCCGGCAGTTTTCAACCATTTTGGTGAATGAAATGCTGGTGAACTTTTCTTCAAATTACCATGGAGGATCCCATTAGCCCCCAGCTCCACGCCAGATGTCTTTCAAACCAATGTGAACTTGATGGGATTTTATCAGCCGGCTCTCTGCTCGAGGGTACAGTTATCTAAAGGGCCAGCGCAGGGCGGAGGGATAATGACTCTGAACCACAGATTTTGGAGATAGGAAAACCCCTAGAGTGTGCCACTTCTGTCTGAAAGAGGCATTTTAAGCCTAATTGCCTCAGTAAATGCATCAGTCCTTTTCCTTTAGCTTGTATTCATCCATGGAAGGAGTTAACTGAGTATGAACACTCCTTTTCAGCTGCTTCATAATCGCTCGATAACAAACTTGAACTCTTGGGAGATGCCCAGCACAACAACAGTCCTGTGCTTAAACTCTGTAAGCTCCATAAATACAATTAGCGATTAAGTGCCTTGCTCAAGGGCAACTAAACTGAAGGAGAGGAGGGTGTTTGTTTGGTTTTCCCAGCTTGACTGTATTTTGTGCAAACAACATCACTTAATTTAATTGTTGCAACCCACTACGTAAGTGAAACATGTTGTTTGTTTTATGTATCGCCTTTTCTTCTGTAATCAAGTCAAATATATATTTATAATGATGACAAACCTACAGAGGGTTGAAACCAGACGGCTGCCGACGTTAAACCTTTATAAACTCATCCTGCAGTTTGTATTAAACCCATTTGTATCAGAATAAATGAGCTGCGTAGGAGATATAATCTGATTCCTAATCTAATTTCAAACTACATGCACATTTGGATTAGAAACAAATATTTGTACAGAGGGAGGATTATTAGAAAAGTGCAAGCAAGAAACAGGGACTAACTGCTTACACACCCAAATATAGCTTCTGAAAGGGAAATCCAGTTTCACTTATCTTTCTAGTACCTTTTTTTAACAGTGTGGGAATCAGGAAGCGCAATTTGAGGCTTTCTTGAAACCTCTTTGGCCTTCCTCTTTCCTACCCGGCCTGATTCAGGCAGTTCCCATGTGAAACTCTTTCTGCTGCCGACATCGTTATCTCTCACTGCGGGCCTGGCCTCTCTGGCTATTGTCTAAGTTTGCTGTCAGGGCCATTAGCCAGGAACACCTGTCGCACTATTACATCCCCACAATCAACCCCCTGCCACCAGCTAGCTGAAACAAGTTTTGATTGTGACCTCCCGAGGTCGAATTAGCCCAATGGGAGTAGACCTGGATGTTCATGCTCATTGCAATAATGTCATCAATGCTGGCATCCATGAGGAAACCAAATGCTGATGACTGTGATTACAACTGTAGCTCCAGCCAGAGTTTGAATAATTTCAAACATGCAAGAACATTTTTGTATTATCATAAACCTCCCTCTCTGTCTGATGTTCATTTGTACGAATCAGACTCACCAAACCCTTTATTCGTCTTCGAACTGCACACATTTGTTGTAGAGTGCTTGTTTAAGCCTCATGAATGTCAATTGCCCGATTTTGAGATTTAATTATTAGCATATTCAAGACCTTTTAAATGCGCCATATCATTTGACTTTCTCTTTTCTGTTTGAGGGCCAAGTTTCATCTACAGAATAAATTCACACCAAAAGGTCATGCAGACACAAAGGTAACAGAATTGGCAGATGTATTACTATTGTTGTTAAGGGAATCAAAATAATCCCAAATAATCCAATTCTAGCACTGAAGGACAGGTCAGGTAAGGATAGCAGAATAACAGATTGACAGAAAGTCTATGCTGTCATGCTGAAATATGCCCAAAAATATATAAATCCAAACTAAAATGGCTCCATTAATCGAAAAAAGTAATTAAGATATTCAGGTAAAAGATTAGAAATGATGGCATCATGATTCTTACATTTTAATCACTTTTCCCCCCCCTGCGGAGAATGGCAGACTACTGGAATGACAAGTCTGGACAGATACAAGATAATTGGTGAATTCCATCATTTTGCTGAAATGCCGCATCAGAACTGTTTGTACAAGTCGTTCCTGCATTAGGTCCATGCTGTGGTAAACTGCTTCGTGTTCAGAAGTAATTAAATTACCTCACAGAGCACAGAACTGCACGTAGCACACGCTGCTTTGAGAGAATGCCACATGCACACAATCACAAACCAATGTGTACACATACAAAAGTGGCTAAAAGTTTCCAATACTCTTAGAGCTTATATTTGTCCTTCATTCAAAAAAGAGGAAAACTATCTCAAGCTTTTATTTAGTTTTGCAGTGTCGTTTATTTTTTCATTCGATACATTGAGTACATAAAGCTAATGTCAACTAAATATAAATGATATATACTGTACCATGATTTCCTTTATACCATGAAGGTCATTTCACATCGATAGAACGCTTAAACTTTAGTATTTGCTGGCAGTACATCGCATTAAAAGATCGGAACACGTACGGCATGGTGTGTTGAGGTGAGTGTGGCGAGTGGGAAACATGTTCACACACTTAACCCTCACACTCACTGTGGTTTCGCTTTATTGGAGCAGAGCTTTTGGGGAGGTACACATACAGACAATATAAATGAAAATCATGACCACTTGAATAGCACCTCGACCAATAAAGATTGAGTCATACATGAGCCAGAGAAGATATGTGAAACAGAAAATATCACCCCTTATCATTTTGAACAAACCTGTTGTTAGCTGTAATGGCTAACAGCTACATGCAGATCCTTTTTTTTAAGTGATGCTCCTGTTTTTGTTTGTGTTTGCTTCACTGCATCACTGTAATCGCAGCAGGTGAAACTGAGTATTAAAGCGGGCGTCAGATCTCTGCTATAAACATTGGTTAGTCACAACACGGTGACTGCACCGCTCGCCATTGATCTTCCTATAAACACATGTGTTTGTCATTTGTCAGTGGGCAGGCAGGGAGGGCCCCTTCTGCTTCACCCACTGACGACCAGCTTCCAGGAAGTTATGTGTTATAAGTCAGTGAGGCGTTCTGCTGCTTCCTAATGTAAACACAAAGCTTTTCTGGTCCTGCCATTTAAATATTGATGTAATAACAGAGGTTAGAGGGGGTGTTCAGAGTGGGTTAGAAGGCAAGAGCTTATCTCAAAATAAGCCGAAAGGTCTTTTAATGGTTTGGCTCATTGCTATTTTTCAAACCTTTTTGGGCCCACTATGTCTTAAGCACGTCAAAGGAAACAAGGCAGTCTAACCTGGTATCCTTTTACATTTCCCCTTATATAACGTTTATGAAAAAGTTAACCCTGATTTTAATTTTAGATTTTTAACTGGATTTTGTTATACCGTATTTCTATGTAACCTCCTAAGGTTATTTATCAGTTATTTGCATAATCTAAGGCTTCTACCATTTGTTCAAATGTAGAGCTACATGAATCCATTATTAGTTTGACAAAGAAGTCATCTGCAACTATTTCTAAGCATCCATTCATCATTGAAAAAGTGTCTTTAAATATTCTTTGATTTTAGCTTCTTAAATGTGATAATATGCTACTTTTCTTTGTCACATCTGATAGTTGTCTAAATATTTTAGAGCTGATGGTCGAATAAAATAACAAACACATTAATGTTCAATAGATCTAATAATTCCTTATTTGAAATATGTATTGGTCTATGAAATGTCAAACAATAATGGAAAAAATGGCCACGGTGTTGATTCAGAATCTTTTTTCCTCCGAATTATAGTGCAAACCCCAAAACATGCAGTTTACAATTATATAAAACTGAGAAAATATTGTTGGGCTATTCCTTTTAAAAGTGACTGAAATGTTTACCTGTAACTATTTGGTTAAGGATGAAGCTTGACAAACATTGGCATGATTGCTGAAGAACGTATCTGTTCCAGATAAAAGGAGGTACGAAACTTGTGTACACATGTATTTTATTTATTATTGGGGGTTTCCCATGTCTAATGCCGCCCTCTACAACATCTGGTTTCAGGGGCGTTCTCACAGCCTTGTATGTTTTCGTCATTAGAAAACGAGGAATTGTGCAAATCTGAGCCGTCCAGATTCCCACCTGGAGCTGCACATACAGCCTGAAGACCCAGCTGTCTGAGCCCCTCCACTCTGACTCACAAACCTTTACATCAACAAGGCTTTTTTTTCCACCAGCGTCTCGCCTGAGCACAAACAGTGTAAACGTCCCGTGTGAGTAAAAGCCTTCGCTGACCATCTGAAAATAAAACCTTACGTAACTGTACTGCTTACTGAAAGGGCCCCACCTTTGCTTTCAGTCAGTACTCTCTGGGTGGTTTTGGCTCTGCCTCTCTGGGGTAGACATCAATCTACTAATAATCAAGGTGGCTTTGGCTAAACAAGCTCACAAATACT